CCTCGTCGCCAAGGAAGCTCTGCGCCTGGGCGTCGCGAGGTGCGAGATTAGAGGTCTTCACATTGGGGGCCTGCGCTTGCTTCGGAAGCCGAAAAGGGAAACCAACAGAAAACGACACCATTTTTCAGGGGTCCCCCAGTTTGAAGGCAGCAAACGCTCCGCAAGAAACCATCAGAGCAGGAAACAAGCTACCCCAGTAGCCAGAGGCGCTGAACAAGTAGAGAGGATGAAAGAAGGATTCATGGACCGCTTGTGGCCAATGTTGTCCATGGAAGGTATTGTTGAAGGGTCCTCCAAGACCCCACCCCACTCCAATGACCCTCGACAGACTTTGCAGCATGGAAGCGTGCAAATGTTGTGGGTAACACGCCCCACAGTTGAGATCGTCAGCTAACCCTCTAGGCAAGACTATTCGGGAGGCAGGTGATGTGTAGCAGGCAATCTGTTATTTGCAAGTTGTTTTCAAGCAACCGGTCAAGAGTCAGCATGAATTGACAAAATAACGACTCCTCTTGGATCAACTGATGTAATAATGTTCTCTCTCGCCACCTTCTGGACCCAAAAGATTTGCTTCAGCGGTTGAGCCTTCGTGCCGCTACCAACCAAGGACCAGAGGGAGGAAAGCAGCAAAACACAGCTTGAACATGGTGTTTCGATGCAGCCTAGCCAAGCAGCATTTTGGGATCAACCCCTAGCATTCTCTCAAGCTCTATCTCTCTATCTCCGCATCTCCGCCTTTGCTCGTTGCCTTACAATGTCCTTTGCGCACAGCCCAAATACGCCCGCAGCCGCATCTCAGCGCGCAGCCCGGAGCCGCAGCTTGCCTGGGCCATGTCCAACTCGCCAGGCAGAGAGGGGATGCTGTGGAAAAGTGGCTCCCCAAATGTGTCCAAGCCGCCGCGCTTCCGTATTTTCATGGGAAACACTGCAATTGCAAATGCAGCCTGTAGCGGGGAACCTGCCGGCCCTGAGAACTGACTGTAGACCAAGCACGTGCATTTATAGGGGTCGTATGCCGGTGACGTGAAAGGTTCCGTGCACCTGCCAGGCCTCGAAAAAACCCATCATGATGCGCAATATGCTCAATGGAACGCTGATAGCATTCAAGCTACGTCTGACTCCTACTCAAGCCTGCTCGGACATTTAGGGCTTGGACCCTAACCAAGCCCGAGTTCTAGAAATGATCAAGCAGCTTGGCGAGTAAGCAAGGCCACTAAAGTGTCCCCTCCATTTGCCTACAAGAGGAAAGCTGACGCAAACCCAGGCCACCAACAAAAACCTACCCGCGGGCGCCCCGGCATAGGCTAGCCCAAAAACAAGTCACCACATAACAGCGCCGTGACAATCGCGAATAACGATCTCCCATGAACAAATTGAGCAGGGTGGGTGGCAAGAGTTGAACGTCCAGACCCTTCCCATGACCTAGCGCACGGCCACAAGATGGCGCCACGCTCATCTCTAGTTCTCCCCCGCAGAAATTGTTCCGAATATTCGTGCCAACACTAGCTTGGGCATAGCTCAGCTTGTTGCTTAGACAATCACATGCTCGTGCTGATCAGGGGTTCTAGTTGCATGAACCTGGACCCAAAGCTGGAACACCCCCGGCCCCCGGCTATCGGCTCGCCTGGTGCCAACCGCCCAGTCAAGAGCTCCAGCTCGCAGAGGTTTGGCCTGCGCGGTGGAATCCAAGCGTCCCAAGGGAATGACCAGCTGAAAACTCCCAAGGGGGCTGCAGTGAGGCTCCCGCGAACTCCATGCATAAATCCGTGAATGTATATCCTAAGTCACCTTGATGAGTCTTTGGACTCCGCAAAAGAAAGCTTTGGAGTATGCAGCAGCGTAGGGCCGTCCAGCTGTCTATGGATTCAGCCGATGCAAATCTCCTAAAAAGTGCTTTGCGAGTAATCACCATCTGACCATCTAAGTTTGATCTCACATGGGCCCACATGCTGAACTTCAAAGACACAGGCCGTACTTGCACGAGTAGCCTACATGCTGAAAAGGTTGGCTAGCACGACCATCATCAAGCCCAGCCTTGCCCGAAGGTTGCGGACCTGGCAAGGTGCTCCGGACTTTTGAGGGGTGCTCTTTATCCATGTTAGCGCATTGCAATTGACGAAGGGCACCTTGGCTAAAGGGCACCTTGTGACCAACCGGGTTGGCAGCCTCATCAACCTAACCTTGGTCACCACCCACGGCAGCTTGCAATAAAGCTGCTCACTCCAACTACTGCCTCAAAACGGCCGCAAGGGCAGACATCGCTGCGCCCCCAGCAAAACCTGCTCACTCGAACCAAAGCCATTTTGGTGGACCCAATACGCCATCGAAACCCCCTTGCACTTTCAGTTCAGGGCATCCTTAGGTCCCAAGCTAGACATGAGAAGCCCCCCACGCCTCACCGGGGGCCACGCCCAGCATCCAGGCCTCAGATCATGCGAGAGGGCCAGTCCAAAATGGAAGTGCTTACATCGACCCGGATACTCAGAAGCAGGGAAAGTCGGGGCTCGCCATTAAAGAGCAAGCTCTGAAAACTGTTTGGCCTGCCGGTCGTAAGATTAAGGTTTGGTAGACTCCAGCAAACTGCACGACGGCGGCCAATGATGTCTGCAGCACCCACTTGGCACCGCACAACCGCATCGCAGCCTTTCTGTTTACAACAAAAAGGACACTCCACACCCAGAGCCTTCTTAGATTCGATCCTGGTTCTAAGAACCTTCTTGCGGGCAGGGGTCCCTACCGTCTCCCCTGACCATGTCTCTATCCAGCTGGCCGAGTTCGAGGAAAGCTACACAACAAACACTTTCAACCACACGTCCCTGTCCGTTGAAAAGCTGTGTAAGGCACGTAGCCAAAAGAACGCACCAGCCGTTTCTGCTAACTTTCGAGCGTGCCCAGTGAGGTCATGATCTGTGGTTCCACAGTTGGCTTGCCCGGGAAATCCCGCCTGCCTAAGTCGGATCGCCTGCCCGAGCTAGGCTTCTGGCCACGCGAAAGGTCCAGGACAGGCACTCACCTCAATGTGTCATGTTGGACGGAACCGAGCATCAACGTTCAGCAAAATTGGGTGGCACAATTGCTTTACGATGCTCTTTCCACCTCTAGACGCCTTCAACCCACAAGCGACAAGCGACGAACTAGTACTACATCAGGCTTCTGTTAACCGCAGTGAGTTGCAAAGCCCAGAGGAATAGCACCATCTTGCACCTGTTGCCCCCTAAGTTCGTCATGTTCGCATCAGCCTCCGTTCTGCGACCTGCCCTGGTCCTTTTTCCATCCTTTCCGATTGCCGCGCCAGCGGAGGAGAACAACAGTACGCAGGAAGTCTCGAGGGGCGTTCCACGATCCGGGCCTCTTCCTGATCACCTTGGGGATCTATTTTGTTTCAGTGGTTGCCTTTTACTGCCTTCCTTGTCAAGAATCCATCCTGCATAGACTGGTTTTGACACATGTCCGGGACTTCCAAGGTGGGTTCATTAGAAAGAGTTGCTCTGCCAGCCTTCCAGCAGCCACCGACCGTTGTGGGCCGAATGCGGGCTGGAGCCGCTCTGTGCACTTCTTTTCCAGTCGCTCCGCTTCAGGAGCGAACATGAGTTCCCGGTCAAAATGCCAAACCCCTATGTTGAACAAGCACGACGTGGCACATGTTGATCCTAGTGCTACACTCGCAAAACAAATTCCCGAGGAAGAAGAGGACAGCACCTGTAAGAAGCACCCAACATGGCGCAAGGACAACTCAAATGAGGCCTCACTCAAACCAGAGCAGCTTGTGTTTGGCCTCTCTTGCAACAGGGTGCTACTTTCCAAGGAGTGCCCACATAAAGCGACCCCCAGATCGTTGTTCGGCCTGCTTCAGCAAAGCATGGTAGTTGATTCTCAATCCAAATCTGCATACCGTGCGCTAGTGGCCGTGCCTTTGGGGTCTGAACATGCGATACGTGGACGTGCATGGGCACGTGGACAAGTTGGGGTAACTTCAACAGCTTGTCAAAGCCTCTTTCGCGGCAACACCGCCGGGCGGGAAGGCTGGAACTGCGAGTGCAATGCCTTGGGCTCTACACATTGGCAAGGGCCGCGTGAAGCATGCGGAGGGGAGACACACGTTTCTTGCAAGGCTCGGGTGGGCAGCCTTGCATAGCCTCGCGCTGGAGAAAACATGATGGCGCTCTTGCCTTCCCATACCCTGTCGGTGTCCATTGGGCTGAAGAGATTGCACGTGGTGGCATCCTCCAACAGCCACAAGTTTAAAGCATACGCATCCCAAAAAAAAACGAGTCGACAATCCAAATATGTAGCACTGCTAATGCGACAAAAGCCCACACATAACCGCGTGAGCCAACAACAGAACATACAAGTAAGGCATTTGTTGGCTTTTGGATGACATCGCAAGCGAATGTCCAGTTTCCTGGCACGCTTCATGTGCTAGTCCGCGTGGCAGGGACGTGGATGTTGTCATCCAATTGTTAAACATGTGACTCCAAAACAAATGAATCCGTTCACCTCCTGGCTCAATGCTAATTGCCGCAAGCTGCAAGTCCACACAATCCGATCCTGTGAAACACCGCAACGCGAATTAGGCCGAATTGGCTAACCTCCTGCACATCCAAAAGGATTCAACATCTTTAATGCTCCGATTTGTTTGCCCCTGTTGAAGGTGCATGCTTGGCAGGAATTGCTTCTGCCACAGGTAGCGGCGAGTTCAAAAGCCGTTAGTATCTCACCCAAGGCTATTCGAAATGATGTGACATGGCTTTATCATCTTTGAACACTTGCTTCTCTCATGCGAACAAGCGCTGCCAGGGTATGCAAGAGCAGGCCCCACTCATCGTTAGGAACATTTTGGACCAGCGGCGGCAAATCTGGCGGATCACTCCTCAGGAATATGCGATTGGAGCTACACCCCAGGTACATCGCACCGCGCGTATGCTTTACCAAAATGGATTCCCCAAACACCCCCTGGCTGTGTGGGTCGCATCACCCAAGCGATCTGGCAACCACCCACTTGTCACTAGCTCCGAGTGGCTGGAAAGCCCTACCTTACATGGCCGGTTTGCCGGCACCAGATTCCTAATTTATCCGCCACCATGGCTCGTGCTGGGTCCACTTTGGCAGCTCGGCCCGTTTCAGGGACGAATGCTGCGTGCTAGCCGCCCCCCGGCTGCCCGGCCGGTTTCGACCGGACGGTATCCGAGGAGTGACGGCCGGGAAGGGAATCGCAGTCTCAGTTCCTGAGTGCTGAAGGCAAACGAAGGCAAGCAGGACATCCGAGTTCCTTTCACCAGCCAACAACCACACAGGCTTACAGTGATCCCCAACACATTTCACATGTCAGCATATATCCATTCATATCCATCCTCTGCGAATGCGCAGTGTCACTTCATGAAATGGTTTGGATCGGCTAACGTCGCTTCCTACATCTTGCCATGCTTCCACTACATTAATACCTTGCAGTGGAAAGAACGTGCCGAAACCGGGCACCTGCGAGTCAGCAAAAGATTTGACAGATCTTGAGCTTGTCCGGTTGATTCCCTAATTAATTACTGCAAGTAGAGAACAAAAGAAACCCATCCAATTGTGTATTTTACGCCTTGTGGTAGCATGTTGTTGGTTTACTTGTGCTATTTGTGTCATCCACCGTATCAGTGACGTTCTGGGGCGAATGGGGCGGATTTGGGACCTCAGCGAGGTTTGAGTAAGAAATGCCACCCGAAGGGTGGCAAACACATGCCCAGGAATAACTGTTGCCATAACGGGCATGTTCAACTGCAAAGCCGCCCAAAAGATGCATCCGAGTAACCTGGCACGTGTTGGGAGAGGCAGTGGGAAAATAAACGAGGCGTGCCGTCTCGTCCGCTCATTTTGCACACGTGCTATTGTCAAGGCGAAGTTGAAGGCCCCATGTCAACTGCTCACGCAGACAAAAACAGGTAGGATGATGTAGGGTGCGATTTCCCGAGATCCGCGGCGAGCTGCGCAAGCGCGTAAAGGGACCAACCCAGCTCTCAGCTTCCGGCAAAGCAATGGCGACCATCTTTGGAAACGAGCAAATAGTGCCACTTCCAAAAACACATGTCGAGTCTTTGGGTAACTGCCCCTAAACATGTCAAAGTAGCCCTGCGAGGTGCACATGATGCCAAACGCGGACCCCAGATTCCCCACATCAGGCCAAGCTGCCGCCCTGCGCCCTGCAAGGACGCTGCATTCACAACCTGTCCATCCTGGCCCAATGGGGAAGCCTCATTTGTGCCACGGGGCTGTCCAAGTCCATATGCCCGTGTTGGACAATGGCTGTGTGAAGGCAACTGCCTAAGAGCGCAGGCTTTCACTTCATCACGCTTTGGTTGAACCTTTGTAAGATTGGTTGCTGGCTGGGCAAGGAAGTATGGTGCAGCCAGCGCAGAAACAATGTCAGCGATGAGATATGTCTAAAGCTGGAGGATGCTAACCAGCACGATGCGGCACTTTGAAAAACAAGCCCAGCCAATACCGCCCATCTACACAGAGCCTGAAAATATCCTGGTCAGACACGCGGCCTATCCCATAGGGAATCAAGAATATCCAGAAGCCGAATCGCCACGAAAGAGCCACAAGCCGTCGCTTCCAGTTAAGGCAAGCCTGTGTGATTCCACGGGTTAAAGGGCTCTCAACATGGTTCCTGACAGCTGCCTTGATCCAAATTCGGGAGAACCCCGCGACTGCTCAGCGCTCTTGGTCAGGCCTCGGCCCAGCCGCGCGTATAGGCCTCAACCTCGGCGAAGCCGAGCTTCAAGTCGAGTCATTTCTGCCCAGGAAGCCCAAGAAGTCTAGGTTGGCTTGGCTGGATTCGAAAAGGCACAAGAAACCAAACAATCTTCCACCGTTCAAGGGGCTTTGCTTGAAGCCACGACACGTACAAAAGCTTGCCATCTGAAAGGGCTGGAGAGCAATTTCGCAGCTGCAAGAACTGGTGAGGCCCCCAATGTGCAAGCTTGTGCCAGTGGACTAGTCCGTTGCGTTACTTCTCAGTGGTGCCCCGATGGGGGGCTTTTCCACGGGTTCTTTGGAGGGGTCACGTGACTTCAAAGAAGCCAACCCCCCCCAACCAAAAAACACAACACACACACAATCATTACACAACTGAAAAATGCCACACACACAATCAAACAAACAAACAAACAAACAAACAAACAAACAAACAAACAAACAGACAGTCCAACCAGCCACCCAGCCACCCAGCCACCCAGCCACCCAGCCACCCAGCCACCCAGCCACCCAGCCACCCAGCCACCCAGCCACCCAGCCACCCAGCCACCCACCAACGACACATGCACTCACGTGCTTGCGCATTTGCTTGTGCAAGCTGTTCACTTGGAATCATTTGTGCAGCCTCTGGTTCTCCGTGTGGGCTTTGGAAGCAAAACAAGTGTGCAACCAAGCAGATATCTGGTAAGCAACATGGATTCAAACAGCGGCAACCAATTCATGAAACCAGGAATTCAGCAAGCAAAGGCGAACATTCATTGAACCCTTGCAAGCAAGAACTTCTGCGGCGACTGCATTGCAACGGGTTGTTCAACCTAAGACTCCCTATCTCCCTCAATTGTGCCCATACTGGGCCGTAAAAGCAAGGCAAGCCACCGCCACCTCTCAGCAAGGTTGAAGCGAACAAACCATCTCCCAGAGCCGTGGCAATGTAAAGCAAACGCCAAGAGGCCATGCTTCGTGGTCCTGCGGAGGCAGACTCGCATGCGTGTGCTGCATGACTGATTGGTCTGGGTGCATGTTCCACAGGAAAGCAGAGGAATACATGGCAAACAGGCCCGGGCCGTGTCCAGTGTCGGCACAATCAAACAATACGTACCCCACCCTTCAGCCATGTCAACCTGTGAGTATGCTTCGAGAAGAATTCCGGCTGAGATGCAAACTCGCTGAGAGTAAGTCATCAAATGTGTGAATTGGCCAGCCCCTGTTGACAGCCAGAGGAAAAACCGAGATTATACAACAGCCTGACCACGGACAACGAGCATCGAAACAAAATGCATGGCCTGGTTTAGCCCACAAAGCAACATTGACCATTTGTGACACAGACCTAGGGATCATTTGTGATGCGTTGCTGCAACACTGTTGGTAAACATGTCAATTATCCGCATCGTCTGTGCACTTGGAGGCATTCATGCGGATACTTGCCGCAAGCAATCCAGTTAGTTCTGCGTGCCCAGATGTGCCCAGCATGTCAGCCGGCCAAGCAACCGAAGTGATGTGCTACGCTTCTCTCCCGTCTGCCCGTGCAATCCCCTCGTGGCCCTTTGGATTTGGCCCATCGGCCCCCGCCTTGTTCCAAACATGCCTCAGCCGCCATTCTACCGGACAGCACTGGTTGTGCAATGTCATGGGGGCAGGCTCTCGGTGTGCGTATGCTTGCTGCGTTCTACCCTTAGGGGGGCCTTGGATGCTTGATGATCATCTTGCTGGGAGCTGGGGGCCCCGATTGTCACCCAAAGGTTGCTCATCCACATTAAATACACTGACTTGGCGATACTGGGCGGTTCAAGCCGTCTGCCAAGTCAATGGTCTCATGCTGCTCAGCCCCTGCTGATTGGACCCTCTGCATGCATGCACTATACCATTCTACTTGTCAACGGCGAAACGCCGTTCGATTTAGAAAACAAGGGTCTACTGAATGATACCCACCTCAAGCCTCAAAGCCCAGCTTGGTGGAGGCAGTCTTTTGAGCGGGCGTCTGTGCGTGCGTGTGTTGGTTGTGTGTGTGTGTGGTTGTGTGTGTGTGGGTGTGTGTGTCGGTGTGTGTGTGTGTGTGTGTGGTGTGTGGTGTGTGGTGTGTGGTGTGTGGTGTGGTGTGTGGTGTGTGGTGTGTGGGTGTGTGTGTGTGTTGGTGTGTTGGTGTGTTGGTGTGTTGGTGCGTTGGTGCGTTGGTGCGTTGGTGGGTTGGTGCGTTGGTGCGTGTTGGTGCGTGTGTTGGTGCGTATATTGGTGCGTGTGTTGGTGCGTGTGTTGGTGCGTGTGTTGGTGCGTGTGTTGGTGCGTGTGTTGGTGCGTGTGTTGGTGCGTGTGTTGGTGCGTGTGTTGGTGCGTGTGTTGGTGCGTGTGTTGGTGCGTGTGTTGGTGCGTGTGTTGGTGCGTGTGTTGGTGCGTGTGTTGGTGCGTGTGTTGGTGCGTGTGTTGGTGCGTGTTGGTGCGCGTGTTGGTGCGCGTGTTGGTGGTGTTGAGCGTGTTGGTGTGCGTGTTGGTGTACGCGTGTTAGTACGCGTGGTGGTGCGCGTGTTGGTGCGCGGTGTGCGTGTTGGTGCGCGTGTTGGTGCGTGCTGGTGTGTGTTGGTGTGTGTTGGTGTGTGTTGGTGTGTGTTGGTGTGTGTTGGTGTGTTTTGGCGTGTTTTGGCGTGTTTTGGTATGTTTTAATATATTTTGGTATGTTTTGGTGTATTTTGATGTGGTTTGGTGTGGTTTGGCGTGGTTAGGTGTGCTTTGGTGCGTTTTGGTGCGTTTTGGTGTGTTTTGGTGTGTGTTGGTGTGTGTTGGTGTGTGTTGGTGTGTGTTGGTGTGTTGGTGTGTTGGTGTGATTGTGTGTGTGTGTGTCTGTGTGTGTGTGTGTCTGCGTGTGTGTGTGTCTGTGTGTGTGTATGTGTGTGTATGCGTATGTGTGTGTATGTGTGTGTATGTGTGTGTGGTGTGTGTGGTGTGTGTGACGTGTGTAGTGTGTGTGTGTGTGTGTGGTGTGTGGTGTGTGGTGTGTGTGTGTGTGGTGTGTGTGGTGTGTGTGTGTGTGGTGTGTGTGTGTGTGATGTGTGTGTGTGTGGTGTGTGTGGTGTGTGTGTGTGTGTGGTGTGTGTGTGTGTGGTGTGTGTGTGGTGTGTGTGTGTGGTGGTGTGTGTGGTGGTGTGTGTGGTGGTGTGTGTGGTGGTGTGTGTGGTGGTATGTGTGGTTGTGGTTGTGGTTGTGGTTGTGGTTGTGGTTCTGGTTCTGGTTGTGTTTGTGTGTGTCTGTGTGTATTTGTTGGGTGTGTGCGTGTTGGTTTGTGTGTTGGTTGCGTGTATGTGTGTGTTGGGAATGTGTTTGTGTGTGTTCGGTGTGCGTGATTGTGTGTGTGTGCGTGTGCGTGTGCGTGCGCGTGCGCGTGTGCGTGCGCGTGCGCGTGTGCGTGTGCGTGTGCGTGTGCGTGTGCGTGGGCGTCGGGCGTGGGTGTGTGTATGTGTGTGTTGTGTTTTTGTGGTTGTGTGTGTGTTTGCGGTTGCGTGTGGTTGTGTGTGGTTGCGTGGGGTTGGGTGCTTGTGCGCGGTTGGTGCGTGCGTGCCCGCGTGCGTCCGTGCGCGTGTGCGCGCGCGCATGACTGCGTGCGCGCGCGCGTGCGTGCGGGTCCCTGCGGGTGCGTGGGCGGGCGGCCGTGCGCGCGTGGGTGTGTGCGCGTGCGTGGGTGCGTGGGTGCGTCGGTGCTGTGTGTGTGTGTGTGTGTGTGTGTGTCAGTGTGTATGTGCAAATCATCTGAGAAGCTTCAACAGACAATCATACTCCACAATGTTCTCATGGTTCACATCGCCGCAAAATGTCGGTGGCAGAAGTTCCTTCGGCAAGTAGTTTGTTTGTGCCTTATTCGGCCCATGGGCAATCCACACCAGCCATGCCTCGCAAGCCTCGCGTGAGTTGTCAGCCCCCCCCCTCCACCCGACCGCGGCCCAATCCCAATCTGCCCATCCGAGGGGCGGGAGGTCATGACATCAAGCACATCCCGGTGCTGAGTGAGTTGCGGCTTCACCATCTTATACCTTCGCTTTCAGTCACATTCGGGGCCATGAGGGGTTCCCTGCGCTCGTCAGCATGGTCCATCCGAAAACCAAAGACATCGTGTGACCTTTAGCATCAGGCTCCCACCAGGTAGCTGGCTGGGAACCCCCTCTTGAGTCGTGTGCGTGTGTGTGTGTGTGTGTGTGTGTGTGCTGGTGATGCAGCCACTCTGGCCGGCCCCGCCCCTTCCGCCCTTTCTTTGGAGCTGAGCTGCTTCTCATTGAAGACGCCGAAGTGTACTCTGTGGATGTATGCTGGCGGCAGAGCGGCTTCAAACCAACCAATTCGGATGCAGAATGGTCGAACATCCTGGGCGTTCTATTTGAACAGCTACGCTCGCACAAACAACATGGAACCAAGCACCCTTTCATTTCCAAAAGGATACGAATTGTCTTCGCAGTTCCAACTTTAAGGTTACAGGTCAGGCATCACGTCCACAAACAACAACGTACGGTACTGCACATGCCATGAAGGTCTTCGAGGACAAGCTGGAGGGGAGGCTGGAAACCCTTGATTCATGTGTGCAACGCACCCAGCAAATTGAGCACGACATGCAAGCAACGGGTTTCCAAGAGCTCGCCAACACGGTGACCAGTAGGGCTGGCAGGCAACTCACTTTCCTACAGGGTCGGCATCCCAGAGGCTGGTAGAATCTGATTGAAGACATATCCCCACTTCTGCCTGGGACACGTGCAATGTGTCTTGAGAGGCTCCTGCACTTCCGCGTGGCCCAACTTGAAATCTTCGACATCAGTTTGAAACATCCAGTTCAGCTTCCATTTCTTAGCAACTGCTTTCACCCGCCCACTCTGGGGCTTGCTCGCCCACTCCCAGCTACAGGGGTGGCCTTCTTTGGGCCTGCTGAGAAGACACCGGTTCGCGTGCCGAGGTGCTCAGAACCAACGACATGCCCAGGAAGAAACAGCACCTCGGCGGCGAGCTTGGGGAGACCAACCGACCAACCCTCGCAAGATCTTCCAGATGGACCCAGCCAGTCCCCTCCTCTTCCCATTGCTTTGGACCTTTTCGCAACAGGTTTTGTTGGTGGACATATGTGCAAGGCACTGACCTTGTGCGGTGAGACAGGTTGAAGCAAGTGGCCGTCTATCTGCCTTTCTACGAAAATGTTGACCTATCTATCTATCCATCTATCTATCCATCTATCTAATCTAATCTAATCTAATCTAATCCATCTATAAAAATATCGATCCATCTATCTACTTCGATCTAAATGCATATTTATCTATATGTGCCTTGTTCTTTCTAATGTGTGGTCATAGGTTCACATTGCATGGGCTCATTGTCACCTTCCAGCCTCAGACATCTCGCCACCGACAAGTCCAACACAACAGTTTGACCTAACCCTGACTCGATTGTTGCAACGAACGTGTGAGCTAAAAAAAGATTCAGACAAACACACGTGTGACCTGATGTGACCTGCGACGTGCAACAAGTCAATCGGCTCTGTGCCGTGTCAGGTTCATCTTTTGCGTTACCTTTGCGGATGCCAAGCCTCTGCTGCTTACACATTTTGAGAGCGCATTGTAAGCTGTTGTGGGAGCGTTGGTTTTCTGCCAGGAGCGGACGAGCAACCGCCCATACCCCATCCCAATAACTGTTCCGACGTGCAACGCACACCCAAGAGCGGATTTGGACAAATCAATGAGCATTTGGGCCGCTCTGCGCTTGAAATGCCGTTCGGCCACTTACCTCAAGCATCTGGCAAGTCCTAACCGAAAGCAGAACCTACCTTGATGATACGGTAAGGCAAAGTGATCCCCTTGCCAACATGGCGCCCCGGCAGGACGGCCTGGAGATGTTTCTATGGCCAAGGCGCGTGACGATGCCCATGATCCGGGGCTCCCAAGCTACGTCCTTGTCCTTGGGGTCCTTGAAGTTGAAGTTCTCCTAAGTCCACAGCCCCCCACCCAGCCTGCACACATGAAATGACACAGCCCAAAGGGAAGACTCACATGGGAGAATTACCAGAACTGAACATTTGACGATGCCACACAAACTCCGAAAAGGCGACCGACTACAAACAAGCAAACCCAAAGCCCCGACATATTCATATCTTGGTCCTGCCTGGGACCAGCTGCAATCCCACTACGGGGACTGAGCCACATGTGGGCAAAGGAGCATTCAGTCCGCGTTGTTGAAACGAGTCGGGCACTTCTATCGCAACGGAGGTTCGGGATGTGAGGATCTTTGTCAACATGTATTGTGATGGTTTGCAAGGTGCTTGCTTAAAATCAAAAGCGAGCCATGTAACAAATTACACGTTTGTGCAAACACCGTTGATGCACGCCATCGTCAACGCGTCAACGAGCATGGGTGGTATTTCTCCAGCTGCTTCTGGGAGACATCCCGTTCGCTGGAATGCAGTGACTTGGCAAATTCTCTCGACACGGACTCTGCTGTGGAAAGCAAGGCCACAAAAGGCGAGCTCACCCCTTGTGCGGACCAGTCAAAGACTACGTATCAGCTGCAATAAAATTGTTCCCTATCCGACTTGAACAGTGACCAGGGACAAAGCTGGCATCGTCGTTCATCCCTTTTACCGCTTGCAAACAAATGGGAATCCGTGGAATCTAGCAGCTTCGGCCTCGAATGCCTGTCGAGGCGCGCGGTCAAACTTCACGACCATACCTCGGGATCAGTCCACAGAGCCAATTGGGATTCCATTTAACTTAGTCACCTGTAGGCGAAAAAACAATGATATGCGTAACCTGCTGACTGAGATGTGAAACTAGTTGGAGGAACTGATACCTTTCCGGGAGGAAAGGAAGACTTGTCTCAACAATGGAAATTGTTTTTCCGTGAATATGCGAGATAAGTCGTCCTTTAAAGATCGGAATTGTGATCAAGCGTGCATCTCAAATGCTGCCCGGGCACGCAGGCCCGTGCTCACCAGAAAGATGGGCATGCTGACCAAGGACCCGGTCACTGCAAAGTGCCGCCAGATGCTGATGTTTGGGTTCAGGTAATAGCCTGCCACACGTGACCGTGGGATCTTGAGGCTTGTTTGCGCTTGAGCCCGCCAAGAAATGAATTGAAGATATGATGAAATGATGAATATAATCTGAAGTGTTGATCAAGCGAAGCTAACAATCAACTGCTTGAGAACATTACTCGGACAGGGGCACGAAAATGATGGATGGCCATGGGACCCCCCGCGAAGGGAACCACAGACATATAGTGGATGCACCTCCAGGGGTTGAGATCACTGCGATGCAAGCCAAATTGCCCTGAGAAAGGCCAGCATGCGGCAGGGCTCGGGCTTCCGAACGGCACGTCCCCCTCAATTTCCGCACGGAGCGTATCCTCCAATTTGGACTAAGCAGTTCCAATGGCAAGAACATGAGGGACGCCCCGACCACTTTGCCCGCACAAATCTCCAACTGACCCCAAGCACGGGGCACCCCAAGGACACCCCGTGACCCTTGGTTCCACCAAGGCACACGCCGATGCCTCGAAGCCTGAGCTGCAGAATTGACTGGAAGGCTTGCAGGGCCCTCGGAACTGCAATGCCCCTATATAAGAACTGAAAGACAAATGCAATCTCGTGCTTGCTGTGGGCCACCTGCAACTTTCCAGGCGGGAAATCAAGCACACAGAGAACATCTGCCATCCGTCAGAGAGATTGCTAGCCATGGAATGTGCACTTTTTAGTAAGCATGTAGGTGCCTTTGCACAAACCACATTGGACACAGGTTGCCCCTTTGGCACCGGGGCTCAACATGGGGCTCAACATGGGCCAGGACACCAGAAGGTCAAAAGCTCGGCTTTGAACAGTGCAAGGGCGAAAACACATGCCCCTACGAAGGCTTCAAAAAAACTTTGCACCGACTTATATAGTCGAAAGATACCCTCCACCACCCCCAACCAGTCCTTCGACAAAGAACAGGCACACACACACACACACACACGCATGTTGTTCTTGCAGCATGCCCGCAGAAACCAAACCCAACAGAGCATGAGCAGGCACTGTATGAAGCTTCTTGCCCCACTGGGAGTAAGCAGTTCGAACAGGCTGAAGCAAGCATCCGCGTGTCGCATGCTCAATGCAGCATCAAACTGCTAGTCTACGTGGCACTTGGTTGAACCCTTTCCGAGCATGCCTCACATCCAGCGAGTCTCGTAAACAAGTCTGGAAGGCTGATTGGTCAAGCCAACCTGCGCCAACCAGCTAATAATATCATGTGTTCACAACAAGTGTGAATACTGCTACTCCTTTCATCCCAGCCATGAACTCCAATCACGCGCAAGCCCTCACAGAAACCATCGCCTGTCACCCGACACCCGCCAAGCGCAGCACAAGGAGCCTGAAGGTCCCGCTGACATCAAACGGATGGTGTGGTACGGCTGCGCTACGCCCACGTAAGTGGCAACCACATTCAGAAATTGAACCTGGGCCAGAAGGAACATGAGCAGAACTCATCTGAATCCGAGAGCGCAGTTCCAAATTCATCCCTCATTCAGCAAATGCCCAGCCCGCAGCGAAAACGCAGCGAGATGAATATGATATATGTCTGGCAATGAGGATTCCTGAACTGGCCCACTCGGTTATTCAAGCCTCCAAACCTAAGTGGAAAATGTTGGGTTTGCAAACAATATTGTTTAGCCTCTTGGGCATGTTGGGCAAAGTGAAAGCTATGGGTTACTTGCACTTGCAGCAACAACAGGTCATCGCAAAATGTTCATTACAACTCTCAGGTATTCAGGAAGCATCGGTTCCAGCATGGACTCCATGAAGGTATGACGCTATGACCTTCCATCACTCCAAAGCTAAAGACCGTCAAACACCTGGGCCTTGTTGCGATAGAGCCACAGTCCTCCGAGCCCAAGGCGCTCAGGCCTTTGCCTCATTGCCCTGAAACCCGCCATTTCAATGCCCAACCTGACCTTCGGCGCATGCAACAAAAAAGGATAATGATGATAATGCCAATCAGGGAAGGTGCCCACATGTTCGATGCGAAGGCAAAACGCCCAGACCTCCACAAACGCTGTTCTTCAAGTGCTGCCGCGTAGCAATAATCAGCAAAACGAATGCAATGAACTGGCAAACTCCGTCCACATCATTCCAAACACTCATCCGCTTCGACATATCGAAGAGGTGGTCCTCAGCTGAGGTATGCAACGCCCACTCCGATGGCCCGGTCTTCGAGTAAAACTCCGTGCCAAAAGTGGATTTGTGCTGAAGGGAGACCAGTCCTTTCATTTGTCCCTTTGCAAAAGTATAAGCTTGCCAAGCGCAAACCTCACAAGCTGCAAGCGCTGCTCATGTCAACCCCCGGGTTCAAGACCTGACTTTGGTCTGGCCGCCTTGGACCTAATGCTTCCATGCAACAAACTTGAGGCGGGCAAGGGGTTCTCGAATAAGCTTACTCTGTTTTACACGAGTCCTTTCCGAGTTGTTGCCCGTGGCTGCGGTGAGCTTGTGAACCACGAAATGGAAAGCCCAAGCAAAGGCTGAGTTGAATTCATCACTCAAGGGCCTGTTGTTTGCTCGCGCATCTGCATCAGCCTTAATTAATGCCGGCCCATAGGCTGCCGGCAATCAAACTGGCGAATTCAGGCGGGGTGCTTATGACCCGATGCTGGCATAAAGTGCGGCACCCTCCTTTCAACAAGCACGACTGCCAGGATGGAAAGACGTTCTTCCTGCTCGGTCGGGCCTGTGTGGGCCTCCAGAAGAGGGAAAGAAGGGCAGTGGCTGGGGTGCTTTTGACCCCTGAAACGGGCCGCTTGCTTTATGCTGCGTGGCATCCCTGCGGAGGCTGTGCGCCCGCAGGCCTGTCGGGTTTTGCCAACTTGCCAGCATATGAAAAATAGTGTAGGACTTTTCTCGCTGATGGTTCCATGAAAGAATCGCCCCTCCGCCCCTCAGCAAAACCTGAACAAACGCCACGCTGCCTGCAATAGCGGCCTGACCCAAACCAAGGGAACCCCAGAAACACGGAACACAAAGACTGCAATGCCCCCTTGCCGCGGCATCCCGTTGCCCTGGGCTTTTCAAAGCTCCAACGGCGCCCTCAAGAACCGCCGAACTTCCCGCTGGACATCGCAGCTGTGTCGGTGGCCTGACTGCATGGATAGGCAGCAGGACTGCATACGTTCAGTCAATCCACGTCCCAAAAGACATGATGTGCACAAGGGCGCAACAGCAAGCCATGGCAACAACAACGTCAGCATGGCGTAAACCAACCACCACGACCAACCGTCACCGCGATCAGAACAACACCATTGCCACACCCTTCGCCGCAGCCGCCAAAAAACAAACAAACAAACAAACAAACAAACAAACAAAGAAACAAAGAAACAAAGAAACAAACACAACAAAACAGCACACAAAAAAACAAAGCCAACAACCAAGCAGCTAAAAACAAACAACAAATAACAAACAACAACCACAACAACCACAACAACCACAACAACAACAACAACAACAACAACAACAACAACAACAACAACAACAACCACAACAACCACAACAACCACAACAACCACAACAACCACAACAACCACAACAACAACAACAACAACAACAACAACAACAACAACAACAACAACAACAACAACCACAACAAACAGCGAGCAGCAAGCCGCAAACAACAGCCACAAGCAGCAAACGACAAACAACAAGCAGCAAACAGAAACCAGCAAACAACAACCAAGCAAAAACACACCCAAAGCAAGCACCAACAAACAAAAACACAAACACCAAACTCCACAAGCAGCAGCAACTGCAACAACTGCAAACATCAAACACCACACGCAGCAACAACTGCAACAACGGCAAACATCAAACACCACACGCAGCAACAACTGCAACAACCAATTAACCATAAGCACAACCACAACCACAAGCACAACCACAACCACAACAAGAACAAGAACAAGAACAAGAACAAGAACAAGAACAAGAACAAGAACAAGAACAAGAACAAGAACAACAACAACAACAACAACAACAACAACAACAACAACAACAACAACAACAACAACAACAACAACAACAACAACAACAACCGCAACCACAACCACAACCACAACAACCACAACAACGACAACGACACCGAAAACAACAACCAGAACAACAAGAACAAGAAAAACAAACAACACGAACAACAAGAACAACATCATCAGCAACAACAACTACAACAACAACCACAACCACAACAACGACAAGAAACAACAACGACGACGACGACGACCACCACCACCAACAACAACAACCACAACAAGTGCTCAGCCAACAACCACCAGCCACCGACAAGCACCAACTGACCACCTACCACCCACCACCCACCCCGTGTCAGCCACCACCCACCGCAACACCGACAACGAAGGCCAACAACCAAACAATGAATGAAAAGTATCTTACTCAGCTCTAGGTCCGCCAAAACACAGAGTCGCACAACCTGTACAAGCGTATTGGGCATATATGCTTGCTGGTGGCGCAGCCCTGATGGGCCACAGCAAACTCCCAACAACTCGTAGCGGAGCCTGGGCCAGGGATGGGACATGAATGACCTTAAGGTGGTCCATTGCTACTCGTTCCTGGAGCCAGAGATATCTGGTCTGGATATGTCTAGCTTTACCTAATCCGATCCTATTTACAGTACCCTTAGCAGCAGCGGCGTCTGATTCTACCACTACAGATGCGAAATTGAAAACTTTCGAATGAGGCTTGCAACCTAGTCCTACCGATCCACCCTTCACCAGAGCGTAGTACTCTGACTCGCCGGTTGATAGGGCAATCGTTGACTGCACGTTGCTTGCGCGCTTCAAAACATGCTCGCCGTGCAAAGTGATCGTACCTGTCGTAGGCCGACGGGTATAACCGCATCACCTGCGTGGTCGGAGTCGACCTGAACTCGCAGCTTCGATGGCTTTGCCTGTCTCGAAAACACTTGGCTAATATCAGGCTTCTTGACCAAATACCTGCATAGCCACCAAATACCTGCATAGCCGCTTGATGCCCCAGTCGGTGCAACCATCTTTCTTGAAAGGTTCTTCACAGCATGACCCAGATGAGGCCTGTCATGACTCAGATATGCTGCTCGCACACCACACGACCGATACATGGATGTCATGTCCTTCGGAAGAAGTGGGCTGTTGGCTTCCATCATCTGCACATCCACAGACTTCTTCATATCAGGTGTCTCCACACCCTTTGCACTAGCCACGCCAAGCTGTTGAACTAGTAGATCAACATGCCGTCTTTCAGGTTCCAAGAAAATGGCACCAGATCCTTGGTGAACTCCACAACGGATCCAACGATTCAAGAAGTGAACCTCCTTGTCGTCACCGACTTCGTCTCCCACAGTTCCGAGCCATTTCAGAACCATTGGGGCGTCCCCTCACGAAGTACATCGACTTCTTCAGCAAACCTACCATGCCAGGGGTCCTTATTTTCATCCAACTCGATGTAAATCTTTTGCTTGGGCGTCCCATGAAAGTGAGCTCTGGACTATTTCCCAGAGTCCAATCTTCACAGGCCCTTAGCGGAGACTTTCTCTGCCCACAAGCTGCACAGCAATCGCATCGCCTCCAGAGGTCGAGCTGAACAGTAGGTTCTGTGGCAGTTTGTCCTCTGCCTTCTTGGCTGCCTTGATTTCTCGAACAACCAATCTTGATCTAAAGTTCGGGTGTGAACCTAGCCGCTTCTCCTGTGAATCTCTTCGGGCTATACACCTCCATCACATCCACAGCACCCATCTCGCAACAGAGAACCGTAATGGAGTTGAGCTCCTCGTGCGTGACGTCCGTTTCGTAGGCTTTGTAAGCTTGTTCAACCTTCTCAGGCTCAGTCCGGTCGCGTCCGAGGGCCGTGCCTGTTCGGTGGAAACTCCGGCTCCTGCAGCCGGTGTAGTATTCTCTCTCAACTCTTCCGTAGTTACCTCTGCTGTCCGTTCAGCTTGGGTCCAGGGAAAATCTTGAGTTCCCCAGGCCTCTCCTGAGATGCTGGGCTCGTCCTTGCCTGATCCGGGATCTCCTCCCGATCATTCCGAGCCCTCTTCATCTCAAGCCTCTTCTGTCCATCTTCCTCGTACTCCACGGGTGCTCCTGGATAGGAGGGGTCACCTCTTGACCCACTGCTACCGGCTGGAACAGCCGGCTCTCCTGTAGCTTCTTCTGCCGTAACATCTTTGTCTTCTGGCACAACCTTGCGCTTTCTCGTGTTCTTCAATTCGCTGACGTCCTTGTTCATCATCTAGCACGACTGTCATCACCAGGAGTGACCCTGTCCGGCCATGATGGCCGATGTACCGACGGTCGGACTCCTTCTCCTACCTCACAACCTCTCGCCTATAGCGATGTTTCTCCAGCCTCCTCTATTCCCCTTCCAACACCGGCACATGAGGTCCGCCGCGTGCCTGGGTAGCCACGACAAGACCGGGCCATCTTCAAGATTGCAGGATACGTACCTGCCTCTTGAGCTCACGGACGGCATTCTCCGCCAGTCCGTTTCTCCTATGACTCCTGCGGGACCATCTTGTTCTCCGTCACTCATCATGACGGCGCGCCGGTAGCCTAGGTGACGCAGGAAGTAAGGCGTAAGGTGTAGGGGGCGTTTGCAAAGAACTTCACCGCGTAAGGCGTAGGCCCCTTAGCGTTCACAAACGTGGCCGCAGTCGACAGCATCTTGCTGTCCTTGATGACGAGGATAGGTCGCGCCTTCCCGTCTTGCTTTCCATCCTTGATCATCCACGATGTAATCACACGCGATGCTGTTGATCGCCTGCGTGAGGCTGTCAACGTCCATTGGAGCGGTCCCTGACTGGAACTCGCTGTGCCCACTATTTTCCCTTTCGCTCCGTGTCAGAGTATCGGTGTTTAGGCGGTTCTTGTTGAGAATAAGATGCCTCTCTTTTTCTACCGGAACCATCATGTCCAAGGCAGCACTCTTTATGTCATCCGAAAGCCGTTCTCTCTCACCTGTCGACCTGTCGACCTACGGCGTTCACACCTCCGGACAAGATCGTCCAGCTGTTCGACTGCTGCCCTCACTGAATATTAAGATTTAACCCGTTCGGGATTCAAGATAGCTCGGAGAATGTTTATCCTTTCTTCCTGCCGTAAGGGGGTCCCATCTTTTGCGCAACTTCCTCCATG